AGGAACATCTCAAAGTAACTGGAGTAGTGAAGTGGAGATACTTCAAGGAGACTCGGTGAAAAGAGACCAGTCATCAGGAAGCAAGGACGGCATGATTGCATCCCAGGTGACAGCTGGACCTGAAAAAGACGTGGAGAGCCTCTTAAGTGCTAGCTCTAAGCGTTGTAATTTGATCTTTTACAAGCTTAGTAGAACAGTGGACTAGAGGAACACGTTGTTCCTTGAACCACTATAAAATTCCCTGGTGTCATTTACTTCACGCACTTTACATTTCTGCATTAAGATTCTGGCTGCTTGACTCAAAAGGTTTGTACTCTGTGTTCAGTAGATCTCACCTAGTGAGTTAACACAGAGGCATTTACCTTAGCATCTTTCTGAGGCTGCCCGAACAGAGAACCTATCCGCTGCCAAGTCCAGTTCTGTAACCAGAACTCGACCTTCTCTGTCAAGTCTTTTAAGACATAGAGAAAAACTTGAAAACTAGAACAGACTATTCACCCCCCCTCTAGACTGTTCCTTTCTGTGAACGGGACCAACACCTATGCTAACCTTGAGGATTCGCCCTCATCCGGGGCCTTTTTCACTTGGAATAAAGGCCCCACACTAGTGCAAAATATGTATTCTATAACTAGGTTTTAATATGGGTTCAATTAGAACCGTTATAATATGTAGGAGCGGGGTCATATTTATAAGGGCATGTGATTTGGGCCATTTTCAGATAGGGGCATGTGTTTCATTTTCTAATAAAGTGGGGCATGTGTTTCAATTCCGTTATCATAGCAGGGGCATGGCATCTAACGACGTTAGAAAAATTAACCCCGATTTTAAAAAGTCTCCGAAAAATTAAAAGAAAAATACTGGGAGATGCGTCTCGTCAAGGAGATCAACAAACTATCTTTATTTTTTTGTTTCCAACCACCATATCTCCAGAAAGTCCACCAGAAAGTTGATATTAGCGAATTTGTTTTTAAAAGATAATCCAAATAGAGCTGAAAAATCCAAAGAGAATGATAGTTTGTTGATCTCCTTGATGAGGCGCACCTCCCAGTATTTTTCTTTTAATTTTTTGGTGACTTTTTAAAATCGGAGTTAATTTTTCTAACAGTGTTAGACACCATGCCCCTGCTATGATAACGAAATTGAAACACATGCCCCACTTTGTTAGAAAATGAAACACATGCCCCTATCTGAAAATGGCTCAAACCACATACGTTTTCTGTACTTTTCCCTATTTATAAATAATGAAAGTTTGAGTAAGTTGAGCGGGTATCTTTCATAAATAAAAAAACATTATTCATATGGGACATTAAAGAACCGACATTAATCACTATAATGGGGCCATTTTTATGATTTCCAAAAACTTTAATTTCGTAATGTGGTATATTTTATAATTTTAAAAAGTACTTTTCAATGTCACTTGTGGTGTAACCCTTATCAAAAGTACTACTCCCTCCGTATCTAAAAGAACTTCCAACTTTCCCTTTTCGTCCGACCCAAAAAGAACTTCACTTTCCCTTTTTGTCAAATAATTTGTGATTCACAGTAATTCTTACACATTCTTACACATTTCTCTTTCCTCTGCACAACTCTCCACCACACAATTCCCACTTTCTTAATTCGTGTGCCATTTGTACTACGGAAGAATATTTAGGGACGGAGGGGGTAAAATTAACCCTCCTAACAAAACCAAGTGACCCAGCCCAAAAAACCCAGACAATTGAATGACGCAAGACGAGACGCCGGCTGTTCCCTCCCGACGAAGGAGACGACGCGGCCGAAGACAACGCTGCTGCTGACGAGTTTTCTTCACTGTGATTTTGGACTGTGGCGTGAAGCGAAGGGGAGGGGGCGAACTGGACAACTGCGATTTTGGACTGCGGTTCTTCACTCGTTTTCTTCTTCCCATCAACAAATCGACTACTCCACTACTCCACTCCAGGTAAGTCCTCCCCTCCAGTTTAGCCTTAGAAATTTGGCACGGTTTTGGTTTTTAGAGAGGGTAGGCTCAAGTTTTTGGAACTACTAAATCAATGCTTTCTATAAGTCTATAACTAAATGCATTTCACATATGGGAGGAGGTCTATATGGCGCACCCATCAGAGTTTGTTGGGAAGAATCTATAAATAAGGTACTTATTGTTTCAATGCATTAAATATGTTATAGCAACTAAAAGTTCTCAAATGAGTTGTATGCAGGAAGAATTCATATGTGGTTTCAATTATTTTTTTATTACATGCTTTCTGTGCAACACTTCCTTCTTGCAGTCATATTCACTTTTATACTCTTAGTATACTATATTTTATCTGAGTAGCATTTCTGTGCCCTTTCCCTAAGTAGTTGATGCCCATCAATTTGTGCCCTTCATTTACTGATGATTGCTCAAATCTTCCAACTACATTGTTAATGTAGTTGTCAAGCTCTAAGGAGTTATGATTAATTCATCTGATGAGTTCAATCCTCCAAGCATGACACTGATAACCAGTTCAGACATCAGCAAAGTTGTTTTTTTTACATAATCTTGGCTCCGGAGAGAAGTTGTATTTGTCTTTAAAGGTTAAGCTTAAGTTTCAATTCATCCTAAATGGGTTAATTAGATTATGACTTCCCATCCATTTGGTCACAGATAAGACCAGTTTTTTATTCTATTTTTATTTATAAAATATAGATAAAATAGTATTTGTTTGTTCTTTTTCAGTTTAGTACTTTGATTCATTTTTTCTCATATCCATTCTATATCAGATATAATAAACTTTTTGTTTTTGAAATTTAATGTACTTGAATTTTGATAAGTTTGGTATTCTATAATTCATGAATGAGCTAAAGTTATTTAAAACTACAAGTGCATGTAAAAAGATTAGTGATAGTTTTTTATGTCAGATGCCCTGATATCCCTCTCGTCATAGATTTTTTCACTTCATAGAAAATATCACTAGACAACAATGAGGTGAGATAGTTGATGTCATTTTGTATAAGCCAATAATTCGGAAAGCATATGACACAGTTTCTTGATATTTCCTTGAACAAGTCCTTAGGGGCTTGGCTTTCCCTGACCGTTCCATTGTTTGGATCATTGAGTGTGTGACCACGACATCCTTTTCTATATCTTTGAATAGGACTCTTTATGGTTTTTTTAAAAGGAAGCGTGGACTTAGACAAGGGGACCCAATGTCCCCTATGTTTTTTGTGTTTTGCCTTAATATTTCTCATGAATGCTTAAAACTCGTATTGATTGTCTGGGCTCCAGTTTCAACTCCCACCTCCTATGTTCCCAATTGAAAACCGCTCAGCATACGCGAACGATCTCATCCTCTTTTCTAGGGGGGGGGGGGGGGTGAAGGGTCTATTAATATGCTAGTGGATACGCTTCGGGATTTTGGAGACATATCCGGACTAAGGGTTAACCATGAAAAATCAAATATTTTTGTGGGGTAATGGTGGCGGTGGGTTATGAGTTATATAATATTTTGGGACTTGTTGATTTTGAACAAGGATCTTTTCCGGTCAAATACTTGGGTATTCCTTTGGCTCTCTTGAGAATTCCAGTTGCACAATATGCTCCTTTATCAGACACGGACACTTATTTTCTTAATGCATGGAATACAAAAACCTTATCTTTTGCTGAAAAATTGAATTGATAAGGTCTGTTATGCAAGGAGTGCAATCCTTCTAGCTGCAAGTATTTCTTGTTCCCCAAACCATTCTAGAGCAAATCATTTCCTTATGTCGCATCTTTCTTTAGGGAACAAAATATGCTAAGGATGCTTGGGTTGACTTATGCCTCCCCAAGGAGGAGGGTGACCTTGGTATTAGGATCTCCAAAAGTATGGAATGAGGCTCTTTTGACTCGAACACTATGGAACATACATACCCGGGCCAATACCCTTTGGGTAAAATGGGTTAATAATGTTTATCTGAGAGGGGCCTGTGTGGAGTTTTACTCCACACTCCTATGACTCCCAACTTATGAAAAAGTTGGCCCAAATAAGAGAGAACATTTTTGCCCATTTTGCTTCTCCTGTGGAAGCTATTACACACTTGAGTTCCTTTTGTGACAACGGGAAAATATCATCCTCTAAAGTCTATGATCTTCTTCGAACCCGTGGTACGATAAGGACATGGATGACTTTCATATGGAAGATATGCATTCCCTCAAAGTTTTCATTTATCACTTGGTTTGCTTTTCATGATAGACTTGCAACAGGGGATAACATTACACACCTTAATCTTGTTAATGTTTGGGACTTATGTAAGGGTGATCAGAGACGACAAGACACAAATTTTTTCTTTGCCCTTTGTCTTGCTGGGTTTGGACGACCACAAAGAATTGGATGAGAATAAAACGCCAAATGACAACCCTTAGGAGTGCGGTCAAGTAGATCAAGAACACTTGCAAGGAAGCTCTTGTCCGTTCCAAGGCCATCCGTACTAGTTTTTGCTGTATAATTTATTTGGTTTGGCGAACTATAAGCGCGGCCAGATTTGATACTTCACACATGAAGGAAGATGTTATTGCAAAGATAAAGCATATGGTGTACAAAATAATGTACAACCTTTACCAGAGAGAGCTGATCAATTTTTTATGTGGGATCAGAGACCTTTTTTGTTATGCCACATGCTACTTTTTTGTTCCCATTTGCCATTTTGGGATGTCCCAAATTTTTTTTAATTTCCCTTTTTGGAATGTTTTATATGGCTAACATTCATTTACTTTTTTCTTGTTTAACCATAATCATACATTTTCGCTTTATTCTCACTTTCTTAATAAGCGTGCCAAATCAAACTGGAAGTAATTATGAGTGAGTGCTCTTTGCATCACTACTTCGAATTTTTTGGTCGTCTAGATATCTGCATGCCGTAGGGCAGATGATCTTTCTTCTGATTCATAGCTCACACATGTACATTTTAAATTTTGTTTGGGTATTGATATAAATTTACATTTCATCCAAAAAAAGGAGAATTCAGATCTAGGTTACCCATCGCTGCAATACACAATCAACCTTGGGCGGTGCATATAATGGAGAAAATACTAAATCAAATCATTATCAGACCACAATAGTCGAAAATGTTTTCTAATATTAAATGCTGCAAATATATTTTATTCCACTTGTTCAATCACCAACTATTGGAGTATAAATTAGCGTGTAAATCAATTCTATGGTACGTAGCTATGGTGTGCATGCCATTTTCCCCTCCAGAAAAAAAATACTGTGTATATGTGTGTGTGTATATGAATCTATGATGGTGTTGTAATAGAATCGTCTGGCGTCTTGCCATTATCCACAGCGACCAGCTGAGTTAGCTCTTTCTCCTCTTCCCTGGACCTCTCCACCACCTTAGGACACAAGAAGCTTGGCTGGTTTGTTGAGGAAAGGAGCCGGGCCCACATCCTATCAGTAATCACAACATTGTTTTGCTGCTCTATAATTCGCTGCAACGTGTGAAAAGCAAAAACATTCTAAGTCTTTGTTTGGCAAGTGCCTAAGTGGTCTACTAGCTAGGATCGAGGATGAGTCTAAACTCTAAACACTCCTGTCCCGTGATGGGAATTTCTTGGACCCACAAGTCTCAATTGTCTTACGGCTGATTTGGGTGGAGACTAATGAAGCCCTCTAAATTGGTGGACTATATGTATCTCTCATTTGGTCCAGTCTCATGGGCCACCAAACATGAGACAGAACTATTATGGAACAAATTAAATCAACTTCCCAACCCAGTCTCGCACGGTTCAATTGTATGTGTCAAGTGTTTGAGTGTCTATCATGACAAAAACATTTCCAGCCCCCCCCCCCCCCCCCCCCCCCCCCCCCGCACACAAAAAATATCAGTTCGGACTTGTTGAGAAGTTAGACTAGGCAAGGAGAGAACGTTTGACAGCTGGTGAAAATGTTCATCCACTTGAGGTGTACAGGACGTCCACCAATGATGTAGCGCCACCAAAATTGTGAAGACCAGTGTATCAGTGACATTCTCATTACAGTTCAATTCACTTGCACAATTCTGGCAGCTTCTTCACGCAGATGAAGGGAGATGTATGATTATTTAGCATTAGAACTTAATTATTTTCTAAGGCATAAAATGATAAATTACTGTAAGCTAACGTCATTTATTTATCACCATAAACCACATGGCCAATCTCTGACTGTCCCAAGGAAACCTTTGCGAACCTTTGGGGAGGCCCACGCCACATAGAAATTGCCTACCTGAATCTTCCCTTGGCCTGTAGGTCCTGCCGTCCTGGACTCCTGGCACAAGGTTAGAATTCTAGCCCTTTCAAAGTGGTATCTCACTGATGGCTTCTTCGCTTTCCACCTAAGCTGGGTAGTAAAGGCCCAAAGCAAATCCCAGGGAACAGTGAAGCTCTCTTAATTTAAAAATTAAAATTTATAAACTACTCCTCCCTTCCAAACAGATTCTTATCAATCTCGATTGTAGCCAAGGACTATATTAAACGATTAACAAATATAAAATATATTATTAATAAATCATTAGCTGTCCATCCAAACCACCTACAACTCGAGGAAGAAAACATGAGTAAGCATATCTGAAACTTACATTAAATGGGATGTAAGTCTGGCGACCATTGACAAGCCCACACGTGAAGCCCGTAAACCCAGCCATTGCTCCATGCACAGCACTTTGAGCAAGCAATGCACAATAAACATTGTCAGATGCATTACTTGGGATGGCACGGATCATATAAGTTGGATCTGCAATATGTGATCTATGTTTATTTAGCTCACAAAAAGCTCTCACAAAGGGCAGATCTGGGAAAAAAGAGGTTTAATTACGATGATAGCCAACCTATATATTTAAGAGTAATCGGAAATTGTCTCTCTTTAGAATAATCCTGCAAGAAGCAAATAACATGTTACCATTTGTACAAATATTGTGTTTATTAAGGGTTTGTTTAAATCGGGGATTTCTGCGGGGAAGGTTGATATTTGAGTTTTTAGTTGGTAACTTCTAAATGTAGAAGGATGAAAATATGAAGATTAAAAAAAGACTAGTTAATAAAAACTATATAAAAATACACAATCTAACAAATCATATACTCTGACTTTTTTTAGTCTAAAACTAACAAATAGAGATAAACTAGTAAAGTAAAAACCATTCCTACCCTACCCTTCTCTCAGAATCCCTGGACCTAACAAGCCCGAAGTGTATATCAGTACAATGAGAATTTGATAAACAAATGCAGAAAGATATTGTGTGGGGGTATGACCATATATACCTTGATTTTCTGGGAAAGCCACATGCCAACATCTTGGAGAAGATGGTTTCCGGAAGCATCTTTCTCGGACTGAGCTATAGCAGTCTCAGCAGCAATAAGTTCTTGTCCAGCTCCTTCAGCTGTCACAATAACCATGTGCCCATTTTCCTTGAGCCTTTTTTCGATATACTCAAGAAGCCCTCCCTGACCTTCAAGATAGAAGGGTGATTCTGGAATCAAACAGCAATCAACATCTCTGCTGGCCAATGTAGCATACATTGCAATGAACCCTGCAGTCAAATCAGTCAGGAAAATAATGTTTTTAAGAAGTATTGGGAAATCAACAATTGCAGCTGTGTTTTTAAATTTATACACTGGTTCAATTAATTTTAACATTCTCAACTAGTTTGAGGCAATTTTTTTTAACAATTCTTTAACTACTACATAGAATTAAAGTTATATTCCTTTGTTTGAACAAGACCTTTTTTAGACAAAAACATGTTTCCAAATGGGATTCTTTTTTTGGGACAGAGTGAGTAGTTTGTAAATTTTTGGCATAAAGTATAATCCACCATAATTTCTTGGCATGTATACTGTATAAAAGATCCCAAGGAGAAAAGGATAACTAGAAAAAAGTGCTCATCAAAACAATACTCTAAAGAACTTAAGTTGAAAACTTAAGGTGAGAACCTTACCACTATAGCGACCCATTAGCTTAACCAAACCGATACCATTTTCAGCACTCTCGGCTTCAACGTGAGCTGCATTGATGGCACGTTGAGCCTCTTCTACAGCAGTATCAAAGCCAAACGATTTATCAATTACCTGATAATACACAAAGAGCACAATATTATTATGGCTTCAATAGCAAAGCAGTGACTAGGTATTTGCCAGCCAATATATCAATACACACACATATATATGCCTTTTACACTTTCCCCTATGCAACAGCTACAAGAACCATTTTTAATAAAAACTAGCAACATTTATGATTCTTAAAAAGCGTTTTTAATGTGACATTTACACGAAATGAAATATGGCATACAATTGCACGGAGTAATCATTAGATGCTAATACTTTCAAGTTTCAATTGTAATATAGTAATTGAAAATTGTAATAGTAAATGATGTTGGTAATTAGATTTTAATCTAAATAGTTTAGACAGGGAAAATTCATTTATGCCATTTGATTCTTATAAAATATAAGAGTAATCCATGCTTTGAAGGAATGAGCAATACTGGAATATCATTATCAATTGTCTTGGGGATCCCAGCAACAGAAACTTTGAGACCTCGGCATCTAACTTCCTGCAACACAGAAGGATAGTAGTTCTAATAAATGACTCATGCACAGAACAAACATTCAAAACTAAAATTTCCTTAAGACATAAATACCATATTAGTCTGTTGTATATTAGGGAGCCACACTATGTGCCATTTGCATGTTGGGCATTTCAAGGGCGTTCCATTTTTTGTTAAAACTATCAGGTTAACAAAATCATGGGTCATCCGGAAACAGTCTCTCTGCGCTTTAGTACAGACGTAAGGCTGCATACATCCGACCCCCCTTACCCCACTGTAGGTGGAAACCTTTGATGCAGTGGGGTAATGTGGTTGTTGTTGTTGTATCAGATTAACAAAAAGGGAGATGTCCTCAAATAGGAGAAAAACTTACCATTTTTCCTTAAATAGTATCGTAACTATCATCATCATTTACCCCAGTGCCGCAAAGGCACTCCCACCTACGGTGGGGTAAGGGAAATAGTATTGTAACTATACGGACTGAAATTTATTTGATAACCCAAAATACTCTTTATTGCACAACCTTAAATAAACTACTTCCGTCGCAGAAGAGCAACCACCGTCGGACTGCTGCCGGCCATCACTAAACCCTAAGAGGGATTGGTACACCCTAGAAATGCTAAAGTTTAAACCCTAAAGGCATTTTAGGCTAAAACTATTACACTTCCAAACTAAAGATGAGATATATCATAGGTAAGGAATAAAACGAAGGTAGTCCTGTTTTGGAAATTGATCAATTTTATTAGACAATACGTTTCATTAATAAACTATACATTTTTCTTAGAGAGGTATTGGTATAGTCCCCCTCTCTTCTTGTACTTCTTTTTCATCATTAATAAAATCTGGTAAATGTTTTCTGGCATTTACCCCACAGATTTTGGTGGTTTACCTTCCTGGTTTAAAAATAATAATAATAATAATAATAATAATAATAATAATAAACTATACATTTATACATAAAGGAAAATATGTTTCAAACCATCAAAACCCTTCATTTGGCAATGTTAACCCTTCATTTGGCAATATTTATGTGTAACGAAAAACACAACTTAACATGAAAATACACAGCTCAGTTAAATGGTTTGATAGTGATATCACCGAAAAATAACAATCAACGGATAATCCGTTGCCCAAGCTAATTAGCTAATAAATCTGAATATTATTGATGATCCTTGAATAACCCTGCGTAGGGTATATATATAATACTCCTCTAATCCCAGTTCTCTTAGGAAACTAACTAGACCAATTAATTGTATGTAGCCTATTAGCCTAAGTCCCAGTGGGAAACAAAGACTTGCGCACCAAGTCGAAGGAACCTGCGTACAAAGACTAAGGGAAATCCTAATATAATAAGAAGCAATAATAAAAGAAACAACATAAATGAAGCTAATTCAAATTAATAACCCAGCCCATGTATAACCCAGCCCACGGAAGTGGACTAAGGCCCGTCCACGCCTCCGGTAGACCAACAGGGGCTTGGGTCTTGGACCCCCTTCTTCTGACCCATCTCCATGCTCCCGCTGCTCTATTTCAATTCCATCCTCCTTAGAAACAACCTTGTCCTCAAGGTTGAAATCTGGAAACTAGCTCACAAAACTCTCTTTACTTATCCAGGTAGCACCATCCCAGGTTGACCCAACCATTTGACTAATAACTCTTCCCTAGCAGCCTCCTTATCCCCTCCCGATCTACAAGCCAATATTTCTTCAGGTTCCTGTATTGGCCCCACAGGTAGTTCCAAGCTCTCAAGCAGCTCACTTTCTATGGGATGATCACCCACCACCTGTCGTAGCTGTGAAACATGAAAGACAGGGTGTATGCGGCTGGAGGAGGGCAACTCTAGTTTGTAAGCGGTCGGCCCCACATGTGCTTTGACCAAAAACGGCCCATAAAATTTTGGTGACAACTTATGATAATGACGAAATACTGTGGATTGTCGATGGGGCCTTACCTTTAAGAACACCTTATCCCCAACTTCAAAATTCTTCTCGCGTCGATGTTTATTAGCATGGGTAACCATGCGCTGCTGTGCCTTCATCAAATTCTCCTTTAAACGGACCATCATAGCATCCCGGCTGCCCAAAGCATCTGCTACGGCAGCCAGCCAGCCACCTTGCGTTCTCCATGTAGAAATCTGCGAATGGTGGGCGGCCATACACTACCTCGAACGGGGAAATTCTGGGTGCTGTTTGAAATGCCGTATTGTACCAATATTCTGCCCATGAAAGCCACCTAACCCACTGTCTCGGCTGTTCACAAGCAAAGCAACGTAAATACTCCAACACTCGGTTTAATACCTTGGTTTGGCCATCCGTTTCTGGATGATAAGCCGAGCTAAACTTCAACTGGGTTCCAGATAAAGCAAACAATTCCTTCCAAAATGTACTGACAAATAAGGAATCACGGTCACTAACAATAGATCGTGGAATGCTATTTAACCTGACCACTTCTCTGACGAATGTGTCAGCTACGGTTGGTGCTGTGACAGGAGCTTCTATGAAGTGCCCATACTTGGATAGTCGGTCTACTACCACCAGAATTGTTGTGTAGCCCTTTGACTTGGGCAAGCAAGTGATGAAATCCATGGAAATATCTTCCCAAATGAAGTTGGGAATGGGCAGGGGCTGGAGCAGTGCAGCTGGTGACATCGCTTCGTACTTGGCTTTTTTATCCTGCACTCGCCCGAACATACCTTTCCAAAACACATTCATGGCTAACCTTTGGTAGGTGCGATAAGCACCTGCGTGTCCCCCTGCTGACGTGTCATGGAATTCTTTCAGCAATTGAGGAATCCACTTAAAATCTGGGGCCAGCACCAAACTTCCTTTGTAGAACATGTTGAGATTTGATATGATTTCCTTCCTGATTTTAGTATTTATTGTACAGATTGTATCAAATCAGGAATTAATTACTGATTGATGTGCATATGATTCTTTCCTTGTAATTATTTGCCTTATAAATAAAGACTTGCTGAGAGTAGTTTCTCTTAAGCAATTTCATTCAAATCATTAAATTCAAGTTGGTATCAGAGCCTGATCCTCACTTTCCCTAGTTGTCCCTGCAGCCAACCTTCATCGAGACTGGTCTGCCGGCACTAGGAATAGAAGTCCTAGTCATTCCAGATTGTTCCCAAGTCAGTATACGTCATGTCTCCTGCAAGCAGCACGACTCCTGACTCTTCCAGGAGTCTTGTGTCCTTTGTCTTTTCTGGGAATCCCCAAATAACTTCTGAAAAACTTAACGGCAGAAACTACATGGATTGGCAAGTTTCTGTTGAAATGTGGTTCTTAGGCCAAGGTTTGTCCGAACATTTGACCAAAAGAGCCGATGAGATAACTGCATCTGAAAGGGAAAAATGGACTCAAGCCGACCATCAATTGGTTGCTATTTTGTGGCAGTCCATTGATCCCAAACTGTTGATCCACTTCCGCACATACAAGACGTGTTATGACATATGGAAGAAAGCTCGAAGTGACTTAGTGAGAAAATCAGCTAACTGATCATTTGATTTGACAAAGGATGTGAAGATTTATGACGTTGTTCATAGCCTTGCAACACTCCAAATGTCCGACCATGACCTTCCATCATATGTGAATAAGGCACAATCCATTGTTGAAGAGGTTAAGGTGATGTTGAGCGAAACTGATCTCCCTAAAGTGTTTGATAAAATTGATAAAATGTGTATGGTGTTTGTTCTCCATGGACTTCATAGGGATTTTGATTCCGTGCGGAACCAGATCCTAACGAATCCAAACATTCCCACTGCTGAAGACCTTATCGGTCGACTGTTGAGAGTTCCTGCACCAAGTGGAATTGAAAGTGTTGGTCCTCACGTTGATTCAGAGTTCTCTGCTCTTGTCTCTCGTTCTAGCTATGGCGGTCGTGGTCGTGGTCGTGATAGAGGAGGACGTGGCACTGGTGGTCGACCTAAGTGTAGTCATTGTCAGCGCATGGGTCATACCAAAGATAAATGTTATGAAATTATTGGTTGGCCTGACAAGTCTGTTAATGTAATGCACTCCGAACCGGTGAAACCTGGGGCAGCAACTAAAAGTGCCCAGAATGTTCTATCAGATGATGAATATAAAGAGTATCTACAACTTAAGGCAGCTCAACATTCCTCAGCAGCAGTCAACTTTACCGGTAACTCTACAACTTGTCTTTCTCAATCAGGACCCGCCAAATCTTGGATCATAGATTCTGGTGCCTCTGATCACATTGCCGGTAATCCTTCTCTTTTCTCAAAGTTATCTCAACCTAAATCAGCGCACCATGTCACCCTTGCTGATGGTTCAAAAGTTAAAGCCATTGGCGTTGGACAGGCCACACTTCATCCTTCTTTGTCTCTTAATTCTGTTCTTCTTATCCCTGGTTGTCCTTTCAACTTGGTTTCTGTCAGTCAACTTACACGTCGTCATAATTGTGCTGTCACCTTTATTGATGACTCTTTTTCTATACAGGACCGGAGTACGGGACAGATGATTGGAGCAGGATTTGAATCTCAGGGTCTATACTACTTTCAGACTTCCTCTTCAGTTGCTTGCACTGCTATGGAGTCTCCTTCTTTGTTTCACCAACGTTTAGGTCATCCTAGTCTCAATAAACTGAGGAGAATGGTACCTCAAGTTTCCAATTTACAGTCCTTAGCCTGTGAGTCATGTCAAATTGGTAAACATGTTAGAACCACTTTCCCAAAAAGTCATAGTCATGCAGAATCTCCCTTCTATCTTGTTCACTCAGATGTTTGGGGTCCAAGTCGTGTCAGTTCTGTTTTAGGATTTCGGTACTTGGTTATCTTTGTTGATGATTTTTCAAGATGTACGTGGCTTTATTTAATGAAAGAACGTTCAGAGTTATTTGGCATTTTCAAAAGTTTCTGCAATGAAATAAAAAATCAGTTTGATCATACCATTCGTGTTCTACGTAGTGATAATGCCAAGGAATATTTCTCAACAAATTTCAATGAATATATGGCTACTCAAGGGATAATTCATCAATCCACATGT